ATATTATTTATTTCAATCATACGTGTGTTCATAATAAATTCATATCCATCGAATGTTCATCCATCCAAACAATTAAATTAACATTTTATATGTCACTAATTCATAATATTTTTATTGAAGTTCATCAACAAAATCATAAAATTTGAATTAATAAGAATTTGCATGACTTTTCCACATATGAGAACGAGTACATTTTCAAGCAAAGAGCTTATTTTAGAATATTGTTCAAATTGTGTATAGTAGATCTTCAAATTCAAGATAGAAGTAGACTAAAAATTTCGACAAACAATTTGATATAATAGAAGAATTTAATAGTGATCAATAAAGTTTTGTCACATTCCGATATGTTTCAGCAAAAGAGAGAAATCCATTAGGCGAAACTAAATTTGATCAATCGTGTCAAGAACAGAAAAGGGTTACTTATGATTTTTCCATAGACGGAGCGATAGTAGTGAGCTTTATTTCTTGGACGTTTTTGATGATATTAATAAGATTTATATACAAAACATCTGAGAATAAACATCTCTTTACTAATTGTAAGGTTAATCTGAGAATAAAGTCGCTTTAAAGTTGGATTCATTTGCATGCCAGTCACCACTTTAGTGCTGAAATATGCAAGTAGATGATAAGACAGTTTTCCAATAAATATAAATTTTCTTATGTCATCACATAAGACCATCATGCTAACACTAACATCAAAATATATAAATGATATTTATAAAATCCCTACTATTCACTATTTAAACAGATAATTACAAAGAAATGATCTTCGTCCAATGTTTATCAAAAAACTAATAACACGACTTAACCCAAATCTTTCAAATTTTTTTAAATTAAAAAAAATCGGCAATTAAGCTAATCACAATTATGTTTCTTCAAAGAGATTTTTATATTTATAGATTGCAAAAATTTTCAACCAAATTTTCGTAAAAAACTTTCAAATGATTTTGAAAATTCAAAAACTTCTCGAAAGATATTATTTGGAAATTGTGTTGATTTTGAAAATTTATTTTTGTTAAATAATTTTTTTTAGCAATCTTTATGAAAAATTGTATGGCAATAAAGTTGTTAATCGAAAATTACGATACTAATTTATTGATAATATTAATTGATACTAATTTATGCATATTAAAATATTAGAGGCCTACGGCAAAATTTGGATCAATGTGCAACGCTTTTAGAAAATTCGTTTATAGTACGTTTTACAATAATGCGAACTAAACCATTTATCAAAAATAATTAACATGTTTGGAAATATAGACCAAATTGAAAAATCTGCAATAGCTTCTCGCATTATGATGCTACTCGGCATAGGGAAGACTGGGTAATAATTTATCTTAAAATAATTTTGTTAATTTACCAGTTTATTGTCCACATCCCGAGAAAGGTTGTGACAGGCATAGAACAATAGGTAAACATCAAAATAACTTTTATGGTCAGAAACGATATTTATTGTCAGAAATAAGTTCCACAAAACAACATAATTATTTAAACAAAGATTATGAATATAATAATACAATATATAAAAAAAACATAATTTTTTAAACAAAGTTAATAAAAAATCTTTGCAAAATCTTTTTTTGTACATTAGATTTTCCATTCCTTTCTCTTTCGTATTATGACTTATTATTAGTTAAGTTAATTTTGTTTCATCATTTGATCTTCACCCGAGAAAGACAAGAAATACATGTCACAACCGTACCCATAAAATTTGTCCCAATCGTACCCAATGCAGTATACAAGAATGCAACAGTTATTATTAAAAGAAATCGAATAGAAAAACTTACTTTTCACTCTTTAAAAACAATGCGGTCTACAGATCATATTAATGTAGGGCACAGACTGAATGCAATAATGGAAACATGTTCAAACAAACATACTACATCATTCTCCCTTTGGCTCTATGTCAAAATCAGCATAGTTTAGCTGTTATGACGATTGTCACTACCGTACCCTGGTACAACTATACGCAATCTCCCTAACTTATAAATCACTCCTAAATTAAAGTAATTATTTCTTGTTATGTTCTTATGATGTTGATATTATATTGATTAAGTCCATCTTTTATCCATTTCGGTAAGTTCATGCAACATACCTTAAGACAAAATGCTACTTACCCACCTAGTTATAACTATCAATCTTCGAATTAAAGGATCAATATAATATTGAAAGTATAATATTGAAAGAGTACGTATTTTGAGAAACATTATGGGATTATAGGCTAATGCTCAGGGATCATATGGCGTAGAGATCTCGACCGTCGTTTCTTATTGTCGTACGAGGCGAGAGGATTTAAGCACAAATCATATCAAAATTCTTTAGCCTTTAGCGGGAATGGCTGCGAGCACGTTCGCAGTCGCGGAAAAGCACTTACTGACCGCGGGTAAAGTGACACTCGGCAATCCACAACGGCTCACCTCAGATATATCATTGTAATGTGACGTTTCCTTTAAAAAATACATCCAGACAAGTTCGAGACCGAAAACGGCTATGCAATCGTTTCGAGATATGTGAAATTGAATAACTACGAGGGTTAACATTCAAATTGAATAATAGTTTATGTTTGTATTGTGAAGATGCCCTAAGTTGCAAAATGCTTTCAGAATAGCATTGTTTTTTT